AAGAGCAGCCCACCTGTAAACTTCGTGGGAGAAAATACCGTATTGTAAAAAAAAGAGAGACTCTCCTTATTTAACAGATGTTTAAACCTTAGCTTCAGACTAAAGGCAGGTCGACATGAATTGACTCAAAATAGAAGCGTCATGAATATACACATAACATTGCTAAATAAACAAAGAAAACTTAATACATTCATTTAAAAAAAACTTGGGACAATTGCAGAATACTGGCAGTCAATAATTTTTCCAGTTTTTCGATATGAGCGGGAGCTATGGGCGAGGAAAGATCGGGAATAGATCTAGATGAGGTGAGTCAACCCTTTCCACTCATCCAAAAGAATGTTATGGTAAAATAAAAAAAAACATTTGTTGTTTTTGTGAGTGTCCATTGACTCTCGATATTCTCAGAAATACGCCTAATAGGGTGTCACAGTTGGAAAAAATAGATCATAAAGGCACCACTTGGCTTAAGGTAGGCAAGGATGATACAGAGCGTGGTTCCAGCATTTGTTTATTCTGATTTACTTCTGATGAGTTAGCTGCAGTAACCTAATCAATAATTCGCATCATAAACATTAATTCAAATTAGCTTCACAGTTATAAAGGAGTGAAGAGGTATTGTTGCTGTTGTCCTATAAAGAACGTGAATTCTCACAATAACTCTTGGACTCTGCTACGCGCAAAAAGGCGATGATCTCGTCATTCAAGGCTCGACTACTGTCACACCTGAAACGCCATCTTTGAATTGTTCCCACCAGTGCATCAGGCCGACTTTGGTTATGTGACAGTTTGCATACTGTGCTGCAATATCAATCGCTGATAAGACTCTGCTCCAAAGATTAACTTCTGTAACCTCACCTGGTCCAAAACTATCACTGATATGAAAGCCCCCTCCGACTGTATCTTGACCTTGTCCAATGACAACTGTTCCGCCAGCTGGAATCTGATGATTTTCTTTCAAGCCTGTTCCATAGCTTTGGAGTCGTCCATCCAGATAACACTGCCAGGCGCCGTTTGTGCTTCTCCAGGTAACACAGATGTGATGCCACATAGTGTCATTAATCTTGACTCCGGTGTCTGTACCACTTGAAAAATGATCATGGACAAATTTAAAATTTCATATCACTAAACGGTTCATTCCATGGCTGCAATACTAACAATCAAGGCTAATTTCATTTTAGTAGGGTCTATCTCCAAAAATCATCGCCGTCATCATAGTTCATGTCATTATTATCAACGTTGTTTTACTACTCTTCTTTTCGTTGTGACTATTTTCATTGTAGTGCGAAAGAAAGGGTTTCCAAATATCAACCATTGGTGGTTGAGGCCTTTTGTCAATTAGGCTGATTGAGGAAGAACATCACGCTTCAGAATGGCTGAAATCAGGATTTTTTTTTCTCTGATACCCCTCACCAAAGCATGCACTGTTTCATCTACATTGCAGTGATGTCTTTCTGACTTCGATAAAAGCCAGTATAGTTTTATCAAAATTCTACGGCATTTCCAGAGAATTTTCGTTGGCTGTTCTCGTTAATTCGTTCTATCATAATATGGCACTGCGTTTTCCCCCCATCCTTTAGTTCCACAGAAATTGCTTCAGTGCAATGCTGAGCGCCCCGGAAAAAGTCAAGGAGAGTTCTGCGGAGCGCTTGAATTTTCTCAATTCTATTTTCAGAAGTTGGGTTTGATACATGTACATCACTTACCTGTATCCGTGGTTATCCACATTGATCTCAATGTTTGGAGTATTCAAACAGACATATATGGCATTTCCAACAACATAACCAGAGGCTTCTGCATAGCTGTATACACACTGGTAACTATTTGAATTTGTATCCATCCATTTAACAAAAAGGCACACAGTAAATTCCGTGAGACTTGATGAAATGGCATGTGCTTTGATGGCATAACGTTCGGTGGTGAGCTGTTCAAAAACAATCCGGTAAGCTGCGGGGGAAAAAATGAATGATTTATGAAACAGAAGTTCCCTTTCCTGCGTTCTCTAAGGAGAATTTCACGAATCAATTCAGAAGAAACGGTCCAGGATTGAGTACCTTGTATATATCGTTTGTCAACCATTGTTATTGATAATTAATACTTCAAGAGACTAGATTTCAATCAGTCCACAAGCAAATATCAGGACATCTTGCCAATAAACATTTTGTCAACTGCATAAATCATTTTAGGTTTCCAGCTGAACACTCGCGCATAAATGGCTGCCATGCACCCGTGTTTCAACGCAATGAGCGAAAAGGGCGTATAAGAGATCCATTAAAAAATTGGCTTCAACCAAAAGCCTTTGAAATATATGGCTATGCAGAATACAAGAGGAATACCACTTAGCCCAAAAACTACCTAAGACTGACAAGGCCTAGGAGCAATTGTTGCTTTTCGGCAGGTGATATATTATTAACTATACTATTGTGATCAACCATTTGAAAGTAATAAATTACACTTTAGGCACATGTCCGTAGATGCATAATTTGTTGAATTACATGCAGTTGTTTGTAATAAGTCTGCTTTAGTCTGATTGCTAAAAGCTATTGCTACAAAGCTATTGAACACGACAAGCTTCGATCTTTTCACACTGTGTTCCATGAAACCCTGATGTACAGCTATAGTATAACTTATAATTAATGTCCCATATGAAACTCTCTAAAATGTTGAATGGTCACGCCCATCTCCACGAGACTTTGCTTTGTAGAAGGAAGCTTGCGCTCCCAGATCATGTCATCAAAATACGATACACGTCTCTACAAACCTGATGAACAAGACAGGCCTTCAATCTTTTCACACTGTGTCCCGTGAAATCCTGGTGCACAGCTGCAGTTATATCCGTTGACTCCATCTGTGCAAGTTGCATTGTTTTTGCAGGGATGGCTGTCACAAGTAACTTTTTGGGAGTATAAGATAACGTCAATAATTTTCGTCAATACTATTTTGCTAATCGTCCTAAGCAACGTTTATGTAAAAAGAATATAGCGAAATTGTGGACCCTTACGTGAAAGGCGTGGGGCCGATTTGACTCCGCTGACGCGCAGTCATTTTTCCGTTATGCCATGAACAAAACGCTTTGTGATTGGTTATTTTTCAACAAATGTCAAACTTAGATCTGCTGATTTGTTAACTTAAAAAAAAAAATGAAATGTTGGACATTTTGATATTTATTTCAAATAAAAAATTATACATAATTAAAATTATACATACGCACATACATAAATCTTGAATCCCCCTATATCTTTTCCATTCTTGTCAATTTTCTACTTAACTTCTCTCTTAAAAAGCTCCGTTTTGTTTTGTTTCGTTTTCCTGGTTTTTGTTGATCTGTTTGTTTCCAAGTCTCGGAGACAAATATTTTGCGTTGTATTTAGCTTGACTGACAGAACTTTACCATCTTCATTCTACTGTTCAAAGTTGTTCTTACCCAGCTCAGCACAAGTTTCTCCGGTCCAAGGCGGCTTGCACTTGCATGAATAAGTTTGTTTTTCCTCGTCATACACGCAAGCACCTCCATTTTTACAACTGTCGGTTATTTGGCAGCCCTAACAAGAAGCAGTAACAGAGAATACGTCGTAAAAAACTGTTCAGAACACGAATATGAATGTACCGTGGAATTATAGAAGTGCTCAGCTTTCTAAGTTTTTCTTGGACTCAATGATTCGAGCCCGATGTAAAATTTCGGAACAAAAATTAATTGCCGTATCAATGAAAACTGATGTAATAGTCGATTTCTGCCATTATTAAGCCTGTCACCAAGAATTATGAATTTAAAACTATATAAAGAGGGTAATTTTCTAAAGAAGCTGAGGTGCTGCTTCTGTGGGAGAGTATGACAGGGTAATTCAATATTAACAACTGAGTAGATGACGTAACTTGGCCGCCGAAAAGAGTTGAAAGCTGACGTTTCGAGCGTTAGCCCTTCGTCAAAGCGAAAGATGAAGGGCTAACGTCAGCTTTGAAACAGGGCATTTAAACTTTCATTTGTACCTCTTGTTCAACTGAAGGATTATAAAGACAACCGGAAAGTTAAGTATTTTCTTTGAAACATCCATCCCTTCATCTAATGGATCACTTCTGATCCATCCAATCACCTATCTACACATCCATCCATTTCATATCAGTATAGAAATGAAATTAGAGAAGTTCTTCATAATGCGCTGATATCAGTTTCAAAAAGAACATTGAGCTCGCCTTTCATTGAAAAGCTGTTTCGATACCGCAAGCCTTATGTACCAAATTTATCATCCGTTTTGGCAGAACTTAAATAAAAAACAAACAAACAAAAACAACAAACCCGTTCGCTTAACCCGTCGCCGGCACAAATTACAATTTTGTTAAATTAGTTTCCTCTAGAAAAGACAGCTTCTGAGGCCTGCACAGTATATGTTACCTTCAGTCCGAAAGATTTTGCATGAGAATTCAAAATGCTAGCACTTAGACTGAATAATAGCCGATAAGAACATAGATTTTGTCAAAGGCGCTTTTACACGCCAGAAATATATTTCGTAAAGACTGACATAAGCAGGTAATTGTCTTCTTTCTTCGTCTTATACTGAAATTAATCAGTCTTTGCGGCTTCTGATAGCTTTATTTTCTCCGTGCTTTAATTCCTGAGCGAAATATTTAGCGTGTTTCCAGAACTAAGAAAAAAGCTGTGGTTCTGATCATGGTGAATGAAGTTTATGAACAGAAATATTTGTATAGATGATGATTCATATAAGCCGGCATTACCTTCAAGTTATTCAAGGTAGGGTTTGCCCTTCGTCGAAGAAATGGTGACTAATTTTTGTTCTCTTGTCTTTCCCTCATTGTTCATCAATTCATGTCATTATTCAAGGCATACATTCATTTCACTTTCAAAAAAGACCAGCTCAGATTAAAAAACTTCACAACAGAAGAAAAT